CCTGCGCTGTGAATGTTTACATGTTATGTTCAATTAAACCATGACAACATGTAATGTTTGTGTATTATTATTTTCAGCAGACTGTGTTTTTCTATTGTTGTGACTTAGATGACGTTCAGAGCACATTTTATGACCAATTCATGCAAAATTCCGCGTTATCCCAAGGGGTTCACATACTTTTTCTTGCAACTGTATATGTATATATATCGTGTTTCCCTGAAAATAAGACCCGGTCTTATTTTTTTTTTTGGCACCAAAAGATGCATTAGGGTTTATTTTTGGGGAAACACAGTATCAAGGTGATCAACCCGGCCGGGCACCCACCCCTAGTGAGCGCACAAGAGGCGGCGAGTGTATGGGGCTGACACTGTCCGACAGCAGCCGCAGCCCGGCAGCCCCTTGGCGCAGCACAGGTAAGTCTTAGCACGGAGGCAGAGATAGGGGGAGGCAGGCAATCTGGATGCGCTGTGCGGCTGCCTGGCTTGTGGTAGGCTCAAGTGGCAGCACCGGCAACAGGCAAAGGCAGAGATATGGGGGGGGGAGGCAGGCGATCTGGATGTGCTGTGTGGCCTCCTGGCTCACGGGAAGCTCACATGACAGCACTGGCAGCAGGCAGAGGCACAGGAGGGAGGCAGGCGATCCTGACATGCTATGCAGCCACCTGCCCTGGCGTAGCCACGGTCAAGCCAAGGGATGGTGGGACGGAGTAGGCAGCATGTCCAGATTGTCTGCCTTCCCCCCTGTGCCTCTGTCTGCTGCCAGTGCCGCAGTGCGAGCCTCCCATGAGCCAGGCAGCCGCACAGTAAGTCTGAATGGCCTGTGTAGTGTGGGCTGCGCCTGCTGCCGGACACCGTCGGCCACTGTGCACTCCTGTGCTGGCCACGCCCACCCCCTTGGGCTTATTTTTGGATAGGGCTTATATTAGGAGCATGGTAAAAAATCAGGCTATGGCTTATTTTCTGGGTGGTTTTTGAATTCTTTTGAATTTTTTTTAATTTGAATTTGTACTTTGTATTTTAATCTTGTCTTGAACAAAATAAAATATACAACTAAATATAAAAAAGGAAAGGTTTCAGAGGAACATAGCATTCAAAATAGGATGCTATGTAATTCATGGGAGAAAACAGGGTTTGTATGCAGATAGCTTAGGTACAACCTGCACAATTTCTAATGGGAAAGCTCTTAAAATGTTAAAACATTCTGACAATCCCATCACAAACAATGAAGAGTAATTTCTCATAGGCAAGATTAAACTTTGCTTTAAAAGCATTTATTCACATACAATTTTAAAGAAGGAAAAATCCTGTGTTTTACAAACCTGGATTAAAAGCATTTTTCTTTCATCGCCTATATCATCTTTGTCCTTCTTATTTATTTTTGGTTTCTTGGGTACAGCATGTTCTTTTTCTTTTTGAATCTTGATTTTAAGTTCTTGAACAAATCTTATGTTCCATGTTAAAATGAAAACATAAAAATGAAACTGTTATTAATAAACAAAAGCATTTACCTATCACACATTCACATTTAAACCCCCTTCTTATGTTTTGTTGTTATTATTTTAAAAAAACATAAATTATAGCAATCTTTACCATGTTGGTAAGTAAAGACATGTTGGTAAGTAAAGATGTAGCTAGAAATACAATGAGATACAAATAAAACTGCTACTTAAACAAGTCTAAGGAAAAATACAGGACAATATACCATGTTTCCCCAAAAATAAGACCAGGTCTTTTTTTTTCCCCACTCCAAAAGAGGCAAGGGTGTGTGTCTTTTCCATTCACCTCTGGCATCGATAGCCCCAGCTAGCCAACCCACTTCTGCGGCTGAAGAAATGGCTTCATTCTGCAGCTGAGAATGGAACTCCGGCCTGCATTTCGCAGTCAGGCCTTTCCAGAAGGTCTCTGCAACTGAGAACCGAGCTATTTTATTCAATTCATAGGCCTGCAGAATCAAGTTATGGATTGAATCCATAGCTCAGTTCTCGGCTGCAGTGGCCTTTCGGAAACGCCTCTGATTGCTAAATGCAGGCCTGGGGACGCCACAGAAGAAGTGGGCCGGCGAGGAGAGGCCTGGCTGCAAGGTAAATGGGTGCAGGGCGTGTGGGGCAGCTCCATACCCCCACCCTAGCTTGATTTTTAGGTGTGTGCCTTACCCCAAAACTAGGGCTTATTTTGGGGATAGGTCTTATATTAATTTCAGGAAAACACAGGTATGTGACTCACAGCTGAACTATGGAGTCCTTGATGCTCTCTGAGTGTGTGTGTAATGATGAGTTTTACCTATTCAGGTAATGAACCTGCAAACAACCAAGCTCAGAGGGTATAAAGGACTTCACAAAACTCTATAAAGCTACTCAAAACTGGTTTGATAAAAAAGGAAGGAATCTTTAAACAGCTGTAGGAGGAACTCAAGATTATTTAGATCAACACTGGCTTATCTATATATTCCTAGCTCTTGTTTACATCCCATGATTTTGTCAGTTTACATGAGAAATACATGCACCATCCAGCCAAAGTCAGGTCCTGGGTACAGTGGGTATAGGGTCATCAACAGGTTTTGACACCAGGTTTGATAATATCTTGGCATTGCACTTTGAGCTATAAATTTTGACACAGACCTAGTGCTGAGTGCTGTACACAATGGCCATCTTGGGGGTTTTCTGCTGTCATTTCCCTGGGGCTCCTGATAGATAAATGGATATTTGTTATCATCTTGCTTGCTATGTTATCTTTTTGTGTTTCTGTTTAAATATGTCTTGCTAAAGTTAACAGTAAAGCTTATTTTTGTCATGTATACGTTACACTATTATTTCAACAGGATGGCTGCTTTGATTTGCTGGTCAATGACTGAAATAAATAAATTGACTATAATACAAAAAAGGGATTAAAAATTATAGGTAGTCCTCAATGAACAATTGGACACTTAACAGCCATTCAGTTATGGCAGTCTTTCCCAAAAGCTATTTCATTTCAAAGTTACAGCTGCTGCAGTACGCCAGTGATTATTCATCTTTACAGTTGACTGCAGGGATCCACCAGCTCTTCCTCATCATTTGAGCTGGCACCTGAAGGAATCATCATGCTTGGGACAAGTGGGCCTTTCCTCAGCCTCCCAGGGCCTTCCTTAGACGAGACACCCATGTTCCTCTTAACAATCTGCACCTTCATTTAAAGGCTTCATCGGGGACAGCAAGGAGCAGAGGTCATTAAGCAAGGCCATCTCTCTTAATGACCATCATGATATGTGACTGTAATAGGCAAGTTACATTATGGCTATATCTTAAAGACTATCTACCTATATGGATTTAAATATCATGTCTTTTTCACTCTTCCCCAATATCCATTTATTTTTTAATTAATGCTAGTTATAAACTCACGAGTAACATAAAGATTTTTACATATAGATTTCTACTAAAAGTACATTCCAAGAAATCAACAAGAACATTTAAAAATTTTTTTCTCTGTACAGAGAAACTACTGTATCTGAACACTGAGTTTATATTGTTCAATTGTTCATAAACAGTCTATGTGAGCTAAATAGATGTGAGATGGGGCAGTGTCTAATATGAATTAAGTATCATTTGTAAAGTTCACTTCCTGTTAAAAGAAATTCTGGTTATTCTGGTTAGTCATATAGAACTGGCACTAAACATTTGATAGCAAACAAGGAGCAACTACTTTACATTTGATACAGGAAGTGAGAAGAAGTAAAATTCTTCTGCAATGAAGAATTAGCTGGGTCAGATCATGTCCTATTCCAATTTGTTCTCCCGAGTTGTACTCTCAGACCAAATCTGTCATCAATTTTCTGACATTAGAACGTAGCAACAGAAAAGGAGTAAGTAAACAGGTAAAGAGTGTCATTATTCCCATCCATGATTTTCACTTACTGACACTGCAACTCTTTTGCAGCTCCAGAAGGCACTAATATCTAGTTCCATCTTTGTATATGCTGAAAGGAGAAGATCTCACTATTCTTTCTTTTTAACAGGTATTTTGATAAAATCAGAAAACTCACCTTTCAGCAAACCCATCTTTGTTAAAGAGGTTGCACTGTAGCAGTTCATTACAAGACGGCCTCTTTTCTGGATTAGTTTGCAGACATTGCTGAAGTAAGATTAAAACTTTATCTTGTTAAACACAATAGAATCAAATAAAATGATCCAAGCTCTATTGAACAAGACACAATATCAGTACATCTAGTCTACATACTTAAGAAGAATTTAGCCTGGATTTTATGAAATCCCTTTCATATTATATAGCAAATAATGGATTTTTTTTTAAAAAGATATACAATACAGTGGAAATAGGAGGAGAACAATGACAGAAGCTAAAATGTCAAAAATTCCATTGAGCATTCCAAACTTTTAAGTCTAAACTAGCTTTTTGTACTTTTGTAGTTAAATGAAGTAAAGCAATCTAACATTTTACAGGATATATTCAAAGGGTAATTACACCAACCTAATCACACAATTGACAAGTTCTATATCTTAAATTAGAACATCACATCTCAAAATATAGAATTGATATCGGAAACAGTACAAAAACTGAGAAACTTCTAGTCCCAACTTGAGGCAGGAAAGCTGGGTGGGTGACTTTGGGTCAGTCATTCTTCCTTCAACCCAACCCACCTCACAGGACTGTTATGGGGGAAATGGGAGGAGAAAGGAACATTAGGTATGTTCGCCACCTATCAAAATAATAAAGATGGGATAAAAATATAATCTAAAAAAATAAGTGAGCAATCAAATACTCAAAGAACAGGAGGCAAAGACATTATAGCTCAGTTGTTTCAAGATATTCCAAAAAGTTTAAGCTGTCATTTGAACCAGGAAACTGATACTGAATAGGTTGCACAAGTCTTCTATAAAGTCATTCAGAATGCACATTAGCATATTTTTTAAAAAGAAAATAGACATATGTTTCTCTAAATGTGTACAGGGAGACCTCAACTTACAACTATAATGGAGTCTGCCCATTAAGGTTACATGGCAGTTGTTAAATGAGACTGTTTCTTCAAAAACTCCAAATATCAACCATACCAATGGTAGTCACTAACTGAATGCATGGGTCATTAAGCAAATGTCCCAGCATGAAGTGCTGTGGGGATGCAGGGAACGGCCAGCACAGAACCTGTGTGAGTTGGACAGGATGCTGAAGTACAGCACAAATGCAAGGAGACTGGGAAAGAAACCCAGTCTACCCTAGAATGGGAAGCCCCAGCACTCCAGCCCAGCCTCACTCTGGAAGGGAAAGGCAGACACAGGAAGGCAGAAAGCAGGCAGATCCCAGGAATGGAGCAACAATTAAAGCCATTCCAATTCAAGCCTTTCCTCACACACGGCAACAGCAATCAAACTGTCCTATTGGTGGCTTCCGTCCTACTGATGGCTTTTCATAACATAGCAGTGCTTAACCCAGTCTTTGCTCATTCCCCCACCACTGACAAGATTGGGTTTAGTCCCCCATTTCCACCACTCAGGCCCCAAGCCCTATCTGTCTGCAGTTGCCAGGGATAATGGTTGATGATGAGGGAGCTCCCTCTCTGTTGTGGGGCCTCGCTGTCCAAGGGGCTAGCAGTTCAAAAGAAAATGGGGCTGCCCAGTAGAGAGAGAGGGAGAGAGCTTCCTCTCTGGGAGGGAAACAGTGGGAGGGAAACCACTAGCAGGAGCAACTAGGTTGCTGTTTCATAATGGCCACTTCTGGAATGGAGCCAAGCAGAGTTACTGAGGTGCAAAGTGGCACAATGGATGGTGGGTGGGCTCTAGGCCCGGTGAGATGAAAAACAGATCCAAGGCCTGCAGGAACCTGTTTAGAGGGATATGGGGGAAGAGATAGGCCAGGCTGGGGAGGGAGGGCGGCGATGCAGCATCCCTGTATTTGGTTGTAAGGACAAATGACTGTAAGAACACTGCAGCAGCCCTAACTTTGAAACTGAGTCATAAATACTTTCGAGGAGTCTGTCATAACTCTGAACGGTCGCTAAGCTGAAGACTACACATCTGGTTTCTTTGGAAGGATCTCACGGTTGTTTTCATGTGTGTGTGTGTGTGTGTGTGTGTGTGTGTATACCACACACACACACATAAATGTACCAATTCTTCATTTTGCTTTTTTTTCTGAAAAGCAAAATAGGAGGGCATGTGCATACATACTAAGATAGCTAGAAACAGTTTCTAAAGCAGCCAAGTGAGTTTAGGAAAAGATCACCAATATTGAAATGTTGATTTTTCAATCAATATTCAATTTCAAAGAAACTTAAAGATTCCCAAAGTCATGATTCTGCTAATAGGTATAGACAGAAAGATAAGAAACCTCAAAATTACCTTTGCAAATTCTATGACTGCAATGGAGAGTTTTGAGTATCGTTTTTCAAGAGGTTCTAACTCTTTGATTTCAGGCAATCTCACTCCAGCAAAGAGAGGGTTTTTGTAGAATAACTCCTGGTGCTTTGGAATTAAGTTACCTAAAATTAATAATTGCTTGTATCAATAATAAGTATAACCTTGCAAAAAAAAGAATAGTTAGCTAGCTAGCTAGACAGACAGAGAGACAGAGACAGGCAGACGTACAGATAGATAAAAAGCACAGACAAAAAGACAGGATGCATTCTTACCTAGACTTTTCATAATATGGTATAACTGGTCAATATCAGAGTCTCCAGGGAAAAGGGGGTCTCCTGTAAGCATTTCAGTTACCAGGCAGCCAATGGCCCAAACATCAACAGCCCTGCAAATAAAACATACTTATGCTGTTCCCTGGTTTTAAATGGGAGCACATAGGAGTGACCCAAGATGACTTTTGGACAATAGTGACCCAGTGGGAAAGGGGGTCTTGAACATTCCAATTCCCTCTAGAAATGATTGTAAAGTCCCTAGGCATATCCATCTTCCTGTCAAGCAGTTTCATTTTCTAAGCATGCCAGAATTTTAATTTTCACTTTTTGACTTTATTGTTTTATTTTGTTTTTCGTTTAAAAATTGATCAGCAGTTGAATGCTGATTTATTTCAACCCCTTGCTGGACTCTAATTGCCTTTTCTCTTTTCTTTCTGATATATGTTGTTCTGGATAACCTCTGTCCCTTCTGTATGGAAAGCACAGCAATGTTCGGGGAGATGGTGAAGAGACATTAAACGCCACAGTATTTTTTGAATTTGCAAAATACTTGGAGTTTATTTTTATTGAATTTTTCTTATAATTTTGGATTGAAATATAGAGAAAAATATTTTTTTTATTCTTGGTTCCCTGATTTAAGTTCCACTGATTAAAATGGCTGAACAGTATCTGAGATCTAAGAAAGAAGGGTGGGAAAATATGCAGCTTATAACTAGTTTTCTCTTACATAAACTTGATTAAACTTTAATGATTTTTCAAAGAATGTTGCAACCTGAAGCTTTATCTTTGGATAAAGATGCACAAAAGTACTTTGATCTAATTCCAGATCAAAGAGAGAGTCTCACAGCTGAAGAACCAGAGAAATGGATTTCATTTGTTGTTCAGAAGTCTAAGTCTGTATACTTCTCCAACATTACGACCTCAGCTGGAAGAGAGGGAGACAAATTCCTTTCCTCTACAAAGACAGGAGGAGACTGGATGGATTTATTACAATAAACTAGTAATTACCTTTGCTTGCACTCTGACTGAAGATAGACATATTCTGGAGACTGAATTTTCTACATTTAATTAAACAACAATTGACAAGAAAGGATATTAAGAAACAAACATGGGTTTTTGACCAAGGATGATCTATTTATAATTTTTGGGATGATCCCGGATAGTTAAAATGCTGTGGTAAATTTTCTACGAGTGGATTACAATAACAGTTTGTTAGCAGAAAGATTTGAAACTTTAATTTTGTTCTGTTTTACTATTATTGTTTTTCCTGCTAACTACTTTGTCACTAATATAATATATAAAAGACAGTTCAACAAGTTGCTAATAGATTTAGTAATTTAAGAATTTTGGGAGGGCCTGTTTCGTAAGGGGCGAGAACTAATTGTAGTAATATATTAGTCAGTATTCAACTAAAGGGGATAATATGTTTATAATGCGTTGGGTTTTTTGATACACCCTTTTTAATGTTCTAACTGTTTTGTGTTTTTTTTAAATGTCTTCTTGGATTTTTATTGAGTTTTCTATTTTGCATTTTAAGTTTGTTCTGAATAAAATAAAATAAATATTTTTTAAAAATCTAATAATATTTTAACATTGAATTCTAAATTTCCTTACTTGCCATATTTGATATCACCTATTAATAGCTCAGGTGCTCGATACCACCGTGTTGCCACATAATCTGTGTAAACTTCACCAGGAGCTGCCAGAGTTCGAGCAAATCCAAAATCACAGAGTTTGATAATTCCCGAACAGGAGACCAATATGTTCTCAGGTTTAATATCCCTGTGTATGATCTTAAAAAGGATGCATATCTATGTTAGCAAAGTCATTATAAACCCATCATGGAAATTCTTCCATAGAAAACATCTAGGTTCTTCAGACTGACATAAAGAGGACAGCCTGCTTCACATTCTCTTTATTTGTCGAATGGAATATTATGTGAGAAACTGTATCGCAAAAACTCAATCACAGATGGTTCGTGATGTTATATCTCCACACAATGAATTGTATTGTAAAGAAAGGATATTTTTCTAGAAGTAAAAAAAAATTACAACAAAATATCAACCCTATCCCAAATAATAGACCCTTTCAGAGTATCTATCCCAATCCATATATGTACAATGTAACACTTTCCAAAAAAATCAGAAATCTTAATTAATGGGATTTACAAATACATGAAGAGAAATGTCTGTTAAAGAACTGTCTCACTATTCACTCAACTGTGAAATATTGTGCTATCTCAAAGGGAGAGCATGTACATTTACTCACTTTATATGAGCATGCAAGTGATAAACATGCAGAATGTTCAGAAAATATTCAGACAAGCATAATAATCTATTCTTGCCTTTGAAAGAATAGCTTTGCAACTATTACATCACCAATTAATGAGAGAAAACATGACACAAACATGTCACTTCCACAAAAAAGAATAGAAATCAAAGAAGGTAGTTTGTTTTTCATTAGACAGCATATAGTTTCCTAGCTGTATGAAAGAAACATGAAAATACAGTATCAGAATATTTTAAATCCTTACAAATGTAGATTTATTCTGAAATATCAGACTGGCATCTCTCTCAAAAATCCTAACAAGAAAATAGACAAACAAAATTAAATAAGTGCAGCAATTTACTTACATTATGACTATGACAAAATCCTACCCCTTTTATAATTTGAAATAAGTATTTTCGAACTCTGTTATAATCCAAGCCATTGGGAAACATCTCAAGATCATCAAGGATTGTGTGATCTACAAATTCAAACACCAGATACCATCGTTTTTTCTTCTTACAGACTTCCAGCAAGTTCACCAAGTTCTCATGCCTTAATTGCTATCAGGAGACAAAAAGTGCGTCATAAAACTACAAGAGATGGCAGTATATTGTGTGAAAATATTCACAATAATTGCCTCTTGAAGAATATGTATATGATTAAGTAAATCATACAAATACTTCCAAATACCGTTTTACGCATGTTTACTAGGTAATAGTACTAATGATTATTAATGTTCACAAAGTATTATAATATTACAGTCTCAATATTTACACAATCTCTTTTCCCTATCACTGTATAAATAATTTAACTCAGCAATCCATTACAACTATAGTACACTATTTTTTTTCAGAGATAATTCCCTAAAGGTAGAAATTTACTCCATTTATTTATTCAACAAAATCTAATTGACAGAACAAAGTTAAATACTGCTTTAATTCTATGCCCTATTTCTATTAGGCCATGACAATAAGATAAAGTGATATAAAATAATATATTTTGTAAAAATGATTTCTTTTTCCAAATATTAGATTTCTCTAAACACTAGAACCAAACCAGCATCTGTATTTCCTGCATCGGATGAGGAGAGCACATCTTTCTCCTTCTGTCCTGGCCACTTTTTACAGAGGCATGATTGAAAGCATTTTAACAAACTGCATCACTGTCTGGTTTGGTGGCAGCAGTGCCTCAAATAGAAAATCCATACAGACAATGGTAAGGACAGCCGAGAAGATCATAGGAAGCTCGCTCCCTGGTATTCAGGATGCTGCTTATAAGCGCTCAAAGCATTGTTAGAGACACCACACACCCACTTTACGGTCTGTTTCTGTTGCTCCCTCTGAGAGGAGGTTTCGAAGTATTTCTAGCAGGACTACCCGATTCTGTAATAGCTTTGTTTCCTATACCATCCATCTGGTAAACTCTCAAGATTCGTTTTTCTTGCCATGCACATGAATACATAACCCGAACTAGACTGTTGTTTCTCTGTGTCATATAATATATGTGGGTATATGCATAATTCTGTATTTATTTATTTTTGTCATATTTTTGTAGTATATATCAGAAGTGGTAACCCTTTGAGAACTGTATGCAATGAAATTTCATTTTAATGTATGCCGATTAGTGTACATTCAAAGTGACAATAAAGTTATTATTCTATTCTATATTCTATTCTAATTCTGTATCTTGAAATCTATAGTTTGGTATTATACAATGATATTGTTTAATAAATATAGTAAAAGAGAAATTACAATCTTTTTTCTAACTATCTAATAACTTTATAGCAACAAAGGCATATCTAAAGATCAGACAAAACCCAGCTTTTTAAAATGTATGGCTTTTAGTTGAACAAATGGTGTATTTTCTATTAACAAGTTCTTCCTTACTTGATCATTCTTACTGTTATGCTTGCAATTCCCTCCAGTAATACTGATGATCTCCTTTTCTCTAAAACAGTTTTCTGTATACGTTTTGTTTAATATTTAACAGGCTGGAGCCCAATTCACACTACATATTAATCATCACATAATTTGGATTTGGGTTATAACAATTACGGTTAATAAACTTTTATGTCTTTTTTGTTCTGGGAATCTAGCCAATGGAAATCAGACAAATGTATGAAATCAGTCTAAAATTAAACAAAAGTAATTGTATTTGCACACATCCTTTTGATGTTATTTTACCTCTGCCTTCTCCTGTATTTTTAATTTTTAATAAACATAAAGAATGACATTATAGCAAAGATAAAAAGATCTACAAGATTATATACATTGATTTAGGTGAAAGGTCACTACAGATTTAGAAATATGAACTTATCAGCCATTATCTTACCTTGAGAAATTTTATTTCTCTCAGGGCAATTTTTTTAACCATTTTATCATCTTCACTTTCCAAAAATTTTTTGATGGCAACAACTCGGCCATTCTCCTTGTTTCTGCATTTCATCACCATTCCATAACTTCCTTCTCCCACAAGTCCAAGGATCTCATATTTTTCCATCTGAATTTAAACAAATGAGTAGCCTGTAGCGCACAATTAATACTCAAGTGTATATTAGTCAATATACATGTATAAGCAATAGACTTGTATATGTCCCAGTAGCAATAATTCATTCTTTTGCACATAATATTTCAGCTTTTCATTATGGATCAAGATATATATTACCTTCTAAGCAACTATCAAAGCAAATTTCTCATCATGATGGCTTCACAGAGTGCATTATATCCTTACAAGAAAAGGACATGGGGAAAAGCCAAGAGTTAAAATATAAAAATTCTAAAAGATGCCAAAGAATGAGGATTGCAAATTTGAAATTGTATTTTGTGACTTGTTGCTTGGTTTGGATGAAGAAGTAGGTGCTGCTGAGAAATAAGAAAATTTTAGAATAGACGATCACAACTTTACTGTTTCAGTGAAATATAAACATACTTGTAATTGCTATTAAAGAAGACCGGAAACAACTTCTTTACAACTTTTTCTTTTCTTTTCTTTCCCTTTTCTCTTTTTTTCCTTACACTTTTTTTCCACTTACTACTTCCCTTATTTTTCTCTTTAAAAATTTGTATTGTGTATTGTGCTTATTTTAAAAAAAGTCTTATTTAATAAAATTATATTTAAAAAAGAAAGTAACAATATCAGCTAGAACTTGAACTTTTATGTTTAGTATGTAATAAGGAAAGTAATTATTTTAAAAGCCACTAGAAACACAAATGTACCTCCTTGCTTAAATAAAGTTGATTTAAAAAACATACAATGATAACACATATCACTAATCTTCACTTTGCAAGAAAAAAAATGGGAAATACTCAAGGGATGAGTATATGAGGAAAACATAATGGTGTAATTATAGACACTTGCCAATAGGTATTGAACATTTAATGAACTAAACTAGAATTGAAATATGTTTTAAGCTCCCTACTGAAGGGGAAAAATATTTGTTTCAACCTTGTCCACTTCAGTAGGCTGATCTGAACATAATGAAATAAATGGAACAAATTAAAATGTCCCACTGACTTTATTTGGTTCAGCTTCATTAGTTTTACAAACACCGTGTGTTCACAGTGTGAATATTATGTCATGTTTTGATTTATATTCAATATTTATATTTTAATTAAAAATGCTGAGGAGAATTTACAATGAAAAAATTAGGAACAGATAGATGATAGTTTGCAAATTCATCATCATATCATACTATTAGGGGGGGGGGAAGCAAAGTATGCTTCATATATACCACAAAGATAACAAAGATATAAGTAAACACTGGGATGAAAATGTGTGAATCCATCCGAGATCCTTTTTTGTCACTCAGCAATTCTGCTTTAGCCTGACTGTCTTCTCATAGGGCAGCTGCTGCTTCAGAAATAACTTTGTTTTACATATATTTAAAAGTATGTCATTTCAAAGGCACTTCAAATAAAAAAAATTAAAAACTGAGTATCAATTTACAGTCACCTATAATAAAATAAAGGGAGAAAAGTTAGAACTTCAGCAATATGGAGTTCAAAAAATTCTAGTAATGTGTGTCTTTTTTTTTTACCAATCTTGAATGGATTGCAAAAGTATAGTTTTAGTAGATTTTTTCATGAGAAGGAAGTCTCTCTTATTGTCTCCCTTAATAAAATCTCAGTTGCCATATAAAATAAGCATTATACAGCAACAAAATATGTATCTTTGGTTTAGATTTTTTTATCCCACCTATTTTTTAATAAATAACTCAAGAGGGCCAACATACCTAATACTCCTTCTTCCTCCTATTTTTCCATAACAATACCCTGAGATGTGAGTTGGGCTAAGAGAGATTGGCCCTATCACCCAGCCAGTTTTCATGCCTATGATGGGCTAAAGCTCAGTTTCTTTGTTTTTTAGCCAGGTTAATCAAATCGACTCAAGCCATGGTTCACTACTATGATCACTACTATGAAAGGCTGTATATAAAAAATGTTCCTTTCAATTAGGGTTCTGGATAGTGGAATTCAGAAAGGGAGGAGAGTCAAAATCAGCAAGATGATGGATGGAGTGCTGCAATGTGGGATTTGCCTATTTGAAGCATGCATGAAATGGCATACATACCAAGGAAGTGACAGGCAGAGTGTTATGATGCAAGCCCCATTTTGCTGATTTTAACTTCCCCCACACATATCCAACTGCAGCTGATGAGGAAAACTGAAGAAGAACTAATAGTTCAATACATGCATATGTAAAATTAAACTATCTGGAAGCACATTATAGTGCCTGTAGCAATGTATATAATACTATAATAGGTTTAGAAGATACACAACATACAAGATCAAACTGACAAACTAGCCTCTAGTTAAAAAAAAAAAAAAGTCAGTTCCTATCTTGAGCCACCAATAGGAGGACCTAAAATACCGGCCTTAGTAGGACTTCCAAAACAGCAAAGCTACTGTTGAAATCACATGCCATCTTGGTTACTTGCTTCCCCCTATACTCGCCACCCACGTAATACTGTACGATACTGATTCCCCCCCCCCCAACCTCAGGGGGACATTCCATGTTTGACCTGAGACATTGGAGAACCGCAATCACCTAACCAAGCTACCAAACTTAAAGGATCTCATCCCATATTTTCACGTAGGTATTTAAAGCGGGGAGCGCTATAAATTCCTCCATGATCATCACTCCATCTCACTAGTCTCCAGCCCGCTTCTTCCGGAGTCATTATCCGGGTCGCCTTCTCTCTGGCAGTACTAGGGTTCTCGAAGACAGGAAGGTCAATGAGCAATCTGAGTACGCTGTCGAGAGGGCCCGCATCATAAATCTTACTGTAAGCTTGTTAGAGCGCTGTCCCAAAGCCTTCTTCCTCCTGGCAAAAGAGTAACACTTTTGAAAATAAAATCCAGATTGCACTACGGTATTTCTGATCCCGAAGTTATTTGCACCTGCAGCAGTAGACGCAACTCACCGGTCCTGTTCCGCTTACAAAGTTCCCTGGCGAAGCTTGCCCGTGCCTACCACCATCACACACTCCTCAGCTGCAAGGCTTCTTGGGGAGCCACAACCCTAGGGGAAGGTGTGACGGATCCGCACAACGCGAGCTTAGCCGCGGTTGCGAGAATGGAACGCAAAGGCCCAGGCAGTAACCAATGGCAACAGTCAGCTTGCTCTTCAAAACACATACTAGGAGCAGTGGCCGATGCACGCCGCCAGGAAGGGAGGGGCAACTCCAGCCTCTGGCGAAAGAGGTATCAGTGAAGATCCTGGTCTTTTTATGCTCTTCACTCGGTTGCAAATCTGCAGTGAATACTATGGTTGAAAGATGTTTATCCAATACAGAAGCAAATGCTTGGAGAGTAGATGAGTCAGAAAAAGGCGCCCCTAGGCTTGAGGGGAAAAGAAAATAGCCAGCGAAACTCAGGTTTCGCGGTGAATGGCAAGAAATACCTTGCCTGCTTCTCTCTTCCCTATCCTTTTTACTTTGCGGTAGAGAAAATGGTAGGATATGGCTGCGCAAAACTTGGGCTGGGACAAGTGGGGGGGGGGGGGGGTNGGGGGGGGGGGGGAGTTGCCAGACGTTTACAGGATGCTGCACATTTTTTAGCGATGAAAGCCTCAGAGACTCCAAGGAAGGCAGGATCACAATAGCCCCAAGCAGACTGTGGCACTATCGCCTTTTCCCTCTTTTCCTCTTGGAGCAGAAGTTTTTTTTAACAGTGCGCCATTTCTCCCAAGGCTGCTGTTCCCCCAAAATGAAGTATTAAAATAGAAGTGGGGCTCTGGGAATTTAAATGGGGAATCTCACTGTTCCTGAGGGTAGAACCACCCTCTATATCTTGAATTAAATATCCAAAAGTTATTAATCCACAATCATCTTTAATGCAAAATCTTCTGATCTCATTTGAAGTGAGAAAACAATTCCTTCCTTTTGGTGCCAAAGCCAGAGGGCATTTTGGGAACATTGGGAGCTGCAGGCATCCTCCTTCCCTTATGATCAATAGCATGCCTCTACCATTTTGCTAACCTTCTCATCAGCACTTTGTGTATTGTTTTGTATTTTATCTTTAAACAAACAAACAAACAAACCACTTGGTAAATGCCCCAATGATAAATGTGAGGGGCAAGGTGGTGGTGGGGAGGCTAATCTATTCCTGCTGAGATGATTGATGTTTATCCCACTGAATCATGGTGTATTGAAATTGAAGGAATCAAACTATAATCATTTATGTATAACCCAGCCATAGTTAATTCTTTCTTATTTGCGCTCTCTATCAGAAATAACTTAAAAGCTGACCAAGGAGAAAGAAAAAGCTTAGTTGTAACTTTAAATGCGTTAGCTATAGCCTGAAATCTCTGCAAATGTATCCGCTCAAGGAGAAAGTTCCTGTCTGCCTACCAGCAATTGTGTATTCGAAGCATAAGCCTTGTAACAAGCTGTAACTGAACTAACCTGATAGATGAAGAAAACACATTTTCAATGAAAAAGATTTTTTTTTAGCCTGAGGAAATGCCTTTGCTATAAAAGGGGAAAAATATTAGTGCATGCGTCTTTTCTCCCATCTCTCTGCGTTAGGGACAAGAGATTAGAAAACACCTGGTTTTGGCTTTGATCAAAGAATAAAGCTATTTCTTTTGCAGTAGCCTCACGTTCAGAGTCTCATTGGAATTTATTAGGATTCTGAGCTGAAAAACCTTACAAAATCACAACACAAGTGCTATTTTATATAGTATCTAGCACATTCCCAAATCACAATAACATCATTTGGTAATGACTAGGAACAGAAGCAATACAGGCTGTACAAGATTGTCAATTGGCAGGTGGGAGAAGTAAATTTTATGCTTGCATTGTTTTGTCCCAATTCAAAGAAGAGTAGTAAGACTTTAATTAACAATGAAAAATACTCAAAGGGGCTATATTAATACCATTTATTAGGCATGTGCTGCCCATCTTGCTTAGAGGTGATTCCAGTAGCTTACAGTCAATTAAAAAAACAAAACATTAAAACAAATTTTAAGAGTAAAATTGATTTAAAAATTGACTAATATGGGAAGGAAGGGAGCAAGATGAACATAGGCAGCATGTTATCTTAGTCCATTAATCACTTCTAAAATGACACAGCCTCATTAGGACCCTAGGTCAACCAAGAGATCCAGATTTTAAGGCCATTTCAGAAGGTCAAAAGAGTGGGTGTGGATCTCACCTCAGGGGACACAATGTTCCAGAGGGCAGGAATCACAACAGAAAGGCTCTTCTCCTGGACTTCACCAGTTGGAATTTCTTGACCATGGGATTCGCAGCCAGCCTTTTCTGCTGGCATGAGTGCGATAGGCCAATCATATTAAGGTGAGGTGGTTCCTCAGATAACCTGGATCATTCTATGAAGGGCTTTAAGCATAAAAACTAATACCTTGAATTGGACCCAGAAGCAAACTGGCAACCAATGCACTCACAAAACAGCAATTAACATGTGCCTCCTTAGAGGTCCCAAGAACTGTCCATGTGGCTGCAATATTCTTCAAGGATAACCTCATGTAGAGTGCATTGCAATATTCCATTATGAAATGACCAGGACTTAAGTGACTGAGCAAAGTATTCCTGATCCAGGAAAGGGCACCACACAAAGTTGCACATAATTCATGCACCACATAAAATTGCACAAAAGCTCTCCTAGCCATGATTGCCAAGTGCTCCTTGAGCAGAGTTGTCAATCCAGGAAAATCCCCAAGTTGTGCACCAGATTTGTGGGGCAGTGCAGCCGAATCCAGAACGTTTAGCCACATCCAGATGTTAAAAGTCTATTTTCCAAAGCTCCACAACCCCAAAGCAACACGATCTTACCAGGATTCAGCCAAAGTCTACTGTCCTTCATCCAGACCTCCACAGCCACCAGGCACCTTAAGAGGCAGCAATAACATCACTTAGGTCACCAGGGATGCAAACTTGAGTATCATCAGTGTACCAATGATACTTTATCCCATGGTGGCAGATATCATCTATTGGCTTCATGTAGGTGTTGAAAAGGAGTGGAGAGAGTACCAATCCATCTGGCACACCACAAAGGAATGGCCATGGTCTGTGCTATCCAGCTACAACTCTGCAGCTGCCCGCAAAGGATACCATGGTTAATGCTATTGAAGGCCACTAAGAGGTCAAGGAGAGCAAAGATGGATGCACTTCTTCTAACCCACTCTCACCAGAGATCATCAACATGTGTGACCAGGGTGGCAGGGAAGGGATGGGCAGCAGAGAGAAAGCAGAGCTGCTTAATTCATTCTTTGCCCAATCTACCAAAAACAGTACTGTAAATACAGAATAGGAATAGAAGTTAAAATAAGCACACAAAAAAAATGTAAGAGAGCACCTGTCCACCTTAGACGATTTCAAATCACCAGGACCAGATGGATTACACCCCCAAGGTTCTAAAGGAACTGGCAGATGTGATCTCAGAACCACTGAATCATATCTTTCAAAGATCCTGTAGCACTGGCAACTACCAGGGGACTGGAAAAGAGCTGATGTAGTTCCCATCTTCAAAAAAGGGGAAAAAACCAATCCAGCAAACTACTGAACTATCAACCTGACATCGATACCTGAAAAGATTCTGGAAAAGTTAATCAAGCAACAAATCTGCAAACAACTAAAGACAAACAAAGTCATAACTAGAAGCCAACATGGATTTGTCAAAAACAGATCATGGCAGACAAATTTTATTGCATTCTTTGACAAAGTGACAAAATTAGTGGACCAGTGAAATACTGTGGACATAGTATCCTTAGGTTTCAGTAAAACATTTGACAAGTAGACCACAACCTAGATGAAGCAATGAATGGAAACTAATCAAGGATAGAACCAACCTAGAACTAAGTAGAAAATTCCTGATAATGAGAACAATGAACCAGTGGTACAGCTCGCCTCCAGAAATTGTAGGCGCTCCATCACTGGACAGCCATTTACCCAGAATGATATAGGGACTCCTGCTTGAGCAAGGGGTTGACTAGAAGACTTCCAAAGTCCATTAGAACTCTGTTATTCTGTGAACACATAAAGCTTTATGTTAACAGGAATACCCGAGTTTGATTTGGTTAGATGGTATCTTAAAAGGAGGTTTAATATATTCATGTTACTGTATATTCACTTTAGAATAGTGAAAATTGTAGCTTCCATATCCATATGAAAACTAGCCCTGCACAAAGCATATTGTAATAATTTCTAGTTTATTGATAATTATTTTGACAGGCTACTCTTATTTAGAAATAGCTAGTGCTACATAGTTCCACTGATAATAATGGATTTAGGAGATGTCCACATTATCCACATTATGTAACTTCACCAGTTCCCTTGTCCATCTTGTTTCCTTCCTTTCAAACTTGTTAATTTAAATTAATGTACATTAATTTCAGTGTTAATATTTATTGTTTTAATGTTTTACATGTTGTTTTTATAATTGTAAGTTGTCTAAAGATTCCTCTAGGCAAGATGGGCAGCATACAAGTTTAATAAACAAAATAAATAAATCTGCATAGTCAGACTGAAAAGCTTTATAGTCATTGTCAAAGCACGGAAAAGTATGACAATTTTTCTTGAAACATCCCACATTTACACACTGGTCTTAAAGGCTTTTGCATAAAAAAAGAAAGTTGCATGAAAAAATATCTGAAATTATGCATTTCTAAAGGATGATTATTTTCATGTGTACGCTCCCACAGAGTGGGTCTCCTCAGGGTGCCGTCGGCCAAACAGTGTCGGCTGGCGACCCCCAGGGGGAGGGCCTTCTCTGTGGGTGCCCCCACCCTCTGGAACGAACTACCCCCCGAGATCCGGATGATTCCGGATCTCCTTACTTTCCGCCGCGCCCTCAAGACATGGCTTTTCCAGCAAGCGGGCCTGACCTNGAGGATTTTATTTAGGGATGATTTTAAGTATAATTTTAATTGGAACACAGCTTCGAATATTTGGTTTTAATTTGGTTTTAGAGGGGTTTTTATTTTTATTGATATGTGTATCTGTTTTAATATGCTGTGCACCGCCCTGAGTCCTGCGGGAGAAGGGCGGTATAGAAATTAAATTAATAATAATAATAATAATAATAATATATTTACTTCTTCCTTCTCCCCTGAAAGTTTTGCAAGTACAATTTGACAGTATTTCAGAATTTATAGATGCCAGTGTGCATGTTTG